AATAGAATAGAATAGAATAGAATAGAATAGAATAGAATAGAATAGAATAGAATAGAATAACAGAGTTGGAAGGGACCTTGGAGGTCTTCTAGTCCAAACATCTGCCTAGGCAGGAAACCCTACACCACTTCAGACAAATGGTTATCCAAAATCTTTTAAAAACTTCCAGTGTTGGAGCATTCATAACTTCTGGAGGCAAGTTGTTTAAATTCAAAGGCTGTTAGGAGCCATGGTGGTACAGTGGTTTGAATGCAGTATAGCACGCTGATTCTGCTGCCAGGAGTCTGATACAGAGGTGGTATTCAGCAGCTTCTGACCAGTTCTGGAAAACCACTAGTGGAAATTTTGAGAAGTTCAGAGAACTGGCAAATACCACCTCTGACTGGAGATTTTACAGTAGCCTTCCCCTGCCACGTCCACCAAGCCATGCCCACAGAACTGGTAGTAAAAACATTTGAATGGTCTGATCCTCACTGGCACTCAGTGTGATGACCCAGGGCATGGAAGAAAAATAACAAAGTTACCAAAGTAGATAAATTCCCTTTAATGCCTCCAACTTGGTCCAAAATGTCCAATTATCCTTGGCGGGAGAACAAACTCTTCCAAAAACAGTCTATAAAGGGAAGAAATGCAGTCCGAACCCCAAATACACATAAATAAAAAACCAACTCAAACCATGCTGAAATAATTAACAGGACAGACAGGATAATAACTGCAGACTTCCAAAAGATAATGAGGCACACACAGTTGAGAGGACACCAAAACCCAGATAAGCTTCAACAAAGATAATGCACACTTTGCTTCCAGCAACTTCGCCATGCGCAGTTTTCTCTCTTAAACAGACTTCCTAGCTGCATCCCATGAAGGGGATCAGGGCCCTTTTGTCCCCTGTAAACCATGTTGCTCTCTTATCCATTCCTCCCTGCATGCCCTAGGATGAAGAGCGGGGTGGACCTGGGTCTTCCTCTGAATGGCCAGCCAGCCTGTGCCCTTCCCCAGTTTCCTCCAGAGCCACTGGAGCCACACTCTTATTCCCTGTCAGCTGTTCCACCTCTCCCTCAGAATCAGATTCCAACTGGGGCATGACACTCAGCCTTCCATCCTTCTGAGGTCAGTAAAATGAGGACCCAGATTCATGGAGGCAATATGCTGACTCTGTAAACTGCTTAGAAAGTGGGATAACATACTATGAAGTGGTATATAAATCTAAATTCTATTATTTGCCAGAATTATTATTTGACAAGTTTGGGGATTACTTCACTCTGAATCCACTTTTCAGTGTTATATTTGACATCAAATGTTCTTTTCTATTGAGATTTGACCTTAGAAGAATGATGTAGCACTTGGGGATGAAGATGCAGCCCAGCAGGCCAGCACTGGAGGCCAAAATAGAAAAAACTTGCACAGCCACCATGTATTTCCCCTTGGTACTCAAGTAGGTGGGCACAAAAGTAACCCAGACACTGCAGAAGACCAACATGCTGAAGGTGATCATCTTGGCTTCATTGAAGACTCCAGGGAGGTTCCTGGCCAGAAAAGCCATTAGGAAGCAGATGGTGGCCAGTAAGCCCATGTAGCCCAGGACTCCATAAAACATGGTGACAGAGCCTTCATTGCATTGCAGGATGATCTCTCCAGGCTGGGAGTGCAGGTCAGAATCAGGGAATGGTGGAGAAGTGCCCAAATAGATGCTGCAAATGATAACTTGGAGGCCAGTGCAAGAAAAGACAATGAAGTTGGCCAGACCCTTTCCTAGCCATCTCTGCCATTTATTTCCTGGTTTTGTGGCCAAGAAGGCTAATACCACCATGATTGTTTTGCCCAAGACCGCCGAGACAGCAAGTGAGAACACAATGCTAAAGGCTGTTTGTCGGAGAGGGCAGTTAGCTTTCGTTGGCTGGCCAAGGAACAGGAAGGAGGTCAGGAAGGAAAGTAGAAGGGAAGCTAGAAGGATGTAGGAGAGATCCCGATTGTTGGCTTTGACAATTGGAGTTTCCTGGAATTTAATTAAGATTATCAAGATAAAGCCTGTGATTAAAGAAAGGAACAAAGCAAGGGAAGCCAGGATGATTCCCAGATTTTCTTGATAGGATAGGAAGGTTTTAATCTTGCAGACACAATTGTTTTTCTGGATGTTTGGATACTGATCTTCTGGACATCTGCTGCATTTTTCTGCATCTGAAAAAGAGGGCTAATAAATTTTCCTATACAGCTTTACTTTGATTCGTTAGATGTCTAGGCGATAGTGTTGGTGAAATTGGTGATGGTAGTGTGAACAATTTTGTGTAGAGGAAGTCAATATATAGTACAAATGGAGATCCAAAGACCCAATGAGTTGGGGGCTCCCCTTCAGGACTCAAGTAGTCTTAGCAATGTCATAGTTTAATGTTGGATTGGAGTTAGGGAATTTCCTTGGGAAATCTGATGAGAAAAAAATCTGCTAGTGTTTTTTGCTTCTTCCTTTTACTCCAGTTAGAAGGGAACAAATTGCCAGGGAAGGAAGGAAGGAAGGAAGGAAGGAAGGAAGGAAGGAAGGAAGGAAAACA